CAATAAAACTTTTTTAGAAAATCATACCAAAAGCCTTTTCTTAGTTCAAGTGTTTGTCTGTTTTGGAACTTCTGAGAGAATACTAGTTTGTGATATTCTTCCAGACTTGTTTATGGCTTTAATCATTGCCATTCCTCATAACATTTATAACATTTCTATGGCAAAATATTCTGTGTTGCAAGTATTTATCATTTCAAAACTCAGACCAATATATCACTGGTAGTTACAGGGAAAACTACTACATATGTGAAACTTAGAGAACAGTTCTGTCTTTGGCTGTAGGTTAAAAACTGAGAACACTCTTAGAGCTGGGAAGTCCAGCTGAAACACAAAACATTTTTTCTGTCGCTCCTTCCCTGTGTAACTATGAGCAGAGGTATTTTGAGGTGATAGGGCATTGTTAAAAATTGTTAAGTGAAAAGATTTTTTTTTGGCCCCAGCTTACTTCGTAACAAAGATAAAATTATTTTGTCCTCTGTCACCTTGTAAGAATTGAGTAGCAAAAAATACTGAATTATCTTGGTTTTTAGATCAAAGCATTGGGAAAAAAAGTAGAGCAAAAAATGGAGAAAATTAAAGAAGATTGCAATTATACTTGACTCTCAAGAAAGCACACCTCTTTCTTTGCAACTAACTCTACTGGATTGATTATGATTCAATATTACAGACAAATTAAAATTATTATTTTTTTTCTATTGACTTCCTGTATTGTTTAGATGAAAACCACTAGCAAAACTATGCATAGCATTTCAACTATGTGAATGTATGTGAAAACTTTATGACTTGAAATAAAATAAATCAATATTAGGAAGCTCAGAATAAAAGATTGAAGTCATTTATGGGACTTGTATTAAGCAATTTACTTTGTGCTTAGCATTGTTTAGCTAAGCTAATCATGGAAGATTAACCTTTTAAAATTTATATTGTGAAGTATGTTGATCCCATTCTTGAATCTTAATGCTTTTAGCTCTCTAAAAAGCATTTGACATTTACCAATAATAATGTCATGGACAAATATTTCTCCATGTTGCAAATAACAAAGGTTTGAATTCTTTTCTCCTGCTTTTTTTGAGGAAGGAGTTGAAGACTGGCATCAGTTTTTTTGTCTGTCTTGGGTTTTTTTAATGGTGAATTAAACGATGACATGACCGTAAAGAGTATTAGAAATTGTTTTACACTGAACAATATTGGGCAAGCATTTAGATTTTTGCAGTGCCCACTGTTTCCTCATTTTATTTGAACAAAGCAAAAATACTTAAGAATTAATGTGAGAAAAACAGGTTCTGTGGCACTTTCTGATCCTAGATCAAAGTGGCACTGAATTACATACGTAAGTGTGAACCTCTAAGCAGTCCTATTGCTTTTTCTGTGATGCTTCCTGTGTTTAAACCTACTTCTGATCTTTGCCTTTGGGTAGTGCTGTTACAAAAATATTCAATATTGAGAATTAAAAAACCCAAAACAACCAACAATAAATCATTATAGATTCAGTGTTTATCATTACTTTTCTAGTACCTGTCTTATCAGGAGTTCTGAGGAACAAGCAGTCAATCATAAATTAGTCTGCCAAGATTTTATAAATCTATAGTTTGAGCACCTCTCTTACTGCACACATTTATTTAAAGAATATACAAAAGGCAATTAAGAAAGGAATGTTCAAACATGTTATACAGCAACTTGCACACATGAAGTTCCAGAGATTAAAATAATATTGGTAACTGTTGAAAAGGAAAAGAATTTATGGGGCAGGATCTGTAGTAGTACTAATCCTTCATAGTAGTACAAGATTGCTACAGACCTTTTTTTCAAATAAAAGCTGTCATTTACATTTACTGCAGTAGGAATATATTTCTTCTAGCTTCACAAGATATAACATGTGAAAATATGTGAGCTGTATTTTAGATTGAATATACCTTGAAATATAAAAGCTTTTCATACTCACCCATGTGTACTCTTCTGTTAAAAACGAAAACTGTTGGAACAATCTGAAGAAAGTCACATAGGAAGTGAGGCCTTGGGGACACCAAGTGAAAAGCACAAGTAGTGTAAATGACCACCCCAAAAAGATATAATTTTTGTAGAATATTTAAGAACATTGGGCTTTGTGAGATTTTGCCACTAGATGTAAATTGCCCTTTTAGATAGCTAATACAATGGAGCTTTTAAGGATATAACTAAGCTTTTTTAATTTTTTCTCTATTAGTGTTAAATTCAAACTAGAACTGGGCCACAACAGAAAATGGCAGCAGTTCCATTCCTATATGAAATACTATTCATAACATAAATTCTTAGGAAAAGGAGGGCCATTGCAGCTTAATTTCCATTGCAAGAATTTCTTGGAGCTTCGGGCAGATTTCTGATTTGAAGAATGGCTGTTAAGACACAGCATAGAATTTAGAAAGGGAATACTTGCTCCTGTTAGATGTTGGTACTGTATCCACACAGCTTGGTAGAAACTGTAAAGCTAGGCTCTAGATCTGCAACCAAAACAGCTGGACCAGACTTATTTGAAGAATCTGGGTTTATCTTCTTGGAGAGGGGTATGGGAAGACAACTAATCTATCCCCTTCACATCTTATGCAAGATTTAAAGGCTTTTCAAAAGTCAATTTTTTGCCTTACATTGTTGAAGAACAATATCAGATAAAATATTGCATTTTACTTGGTAATCTCTTCTGAGTTGCTGTATCACACTAGTCTGAGCAGTCTAGAATTCTGCTTTTAATTTCAGCTGGTTCTTTAATCTTACTTCCTAGTATATGGTGATTTATACCAGCTAACAGCATAAAGCAAAATACAGTTTAACGTAGTAATTGGAGGCTAACTTTAACAATTTGAGGCTAAATTACTTATGAAAGATACCATATATCACTGCAGGTTTTCTATATGACTATCTGCATACATGAATTATTCATACAAGAGATATGTATACAATAAACATATGGATTGTGTGATGATGAGCATTTGGTTCCAGTTAAGACCAATGGAAACAAGTTTCTGAACTACAACAGGAGGTTATCACAGCATCCAATCAAAGATACCTACTTCATGGAAAAATGTAGCCATTCCTCCAAAGCTCTGAAAGTTTGGTTCCACAGGTGTGTTCAAAAAGTGAGACTTAAAAAAGCTCTGGCTCTTTTTAAATTTACTTCCTCCTTGATCCGTAATATTAGTTTTGATTCAGAACACTTAAACGGGTATTGTTTCTATTTTCTTTTTAGTAGAATGAGAACCTGTTGCTACTAGGGAGCAAAACTTTTTAACTACACAATATTCCTAGAGGAGTTATTGATTTTATGTTGAAATAATTTTTTTTCCCTTTTTTCTCATGTAAGTTATTCCTAATTTGCATGTATTAAAGCAAACTTCTACTGTCTTTATTACTGCTAAGACTTTTCTAAAACCAAAGAATGACTGACTCTTCCAAATCAAGTTTATAGTACAGAATATATGGTTAAGGGAAACAAGATCCACACAAATATGTTATCCTCTGCTAAAACATTAGTGTGTTACCTTTTGATTTTATGCTACTATTTATTCTTTCTCCTTGAAATTAATGGGGGAAGACTTTGGATTTATGGGCATTTGGAAAGAAAATGTTAGGCCTGTAGACCATGGATTGGTGACATATTAAACATACTTTTTTCTTTTTTCCCACTACATTACTTAAAAAATGAGGAGAAATCACACAGCTGACCACACTGCAGCTACTTAACACTACTGTAAATAGATCAGAACAAGCATGTGGTATACATGATTGTCTGAACAGATAAATTAAAGGGTGTGGATTGTTCAGCATCAGTGGAAGGAGGAGAATAAGAAAAAAAACCTTCTGATTGCAGCTGCAAATGGTAGCAATTTTTCCTTCCTGCATTAATTAATGCAATTCATGTAATGCATATTACTTCATTCAAGAGCAAAATTCTCACATTCAGTTCACAAAGTATTTTAATTAAGAATATCAATGAAGAATGACAATCTGCTTCCAGAAAAAGCAAAGATGCTTCTTTGGCCATGTAGAAGGAACTGTGATACGAATATAGTTTATCAGTGTAATAAATTCGCTTTCCTAAAACTCTTTACTAAAATAATTTTTTTTAAGTCATATTTTGCTTTATTTCTCTCTTTTCCCCTTCTAACCTTCTTTTACATGCAGTATTTGACTGAAAACCTGCATTTACACACATGGAGCATTTCACCGCACACCTGCATTTTACAATCTCTAATGATCAAAGTGCTTCATCCTTTATAAACATCACAAATTAAAAGAGCTTTCAGCATTTGAACTCCAACACAACATACACAAAACTAAAGTAATTCATTGTCTAGAGACCATAACAAATTTTAATGTGCATTTACAGAGTAAACAGAAGGCTGAAAGGGGTCAAACCGGTGGAAGTGAAAGTATGTATTACAAAATCCACACAATACTGAATTACAAACTAAGAAGTGATGTTTTGTCAAAAAGGAAATCAAGATGTCTATTGGTGGCACGACATATAGATAATACTAAAAACTGGCTTGCGTGAGGACCAAAGTATGTCTACTCTGAAGTTATATCACACAGACTGTAAGCAATTTACAGAATTTAAGTTAGTTTTGCATATACAGGAGTTGCAAAATTAGAGAAAACACACTGAAATATAGAACACACACCAAAAAAAGGGATGTGTATATATAAACCTCCACGCAATCATCAGGGGTTGGCCTAAGTCAGTAGTTGCCACCATCGAGAAACAAATTTAAAAAAAGACAGGAAAAAAACAACCCACAGGGGAATAATAATAATCATGAACCCATATAACTCAAAGGAAAGATATCATTTGTCCTAATTTGTTTTCCAGAAACAACGTCCTGTAGTCTGCTTATCTGCTTTTTGGAATTTCTTTTCTCCTCCCTATTTCTCATGCAAAAAATCCCCCCAAAGCCCCCCAAAAACAGGCTTTTTGATAAAGCTTCTGGGGAGTTTTATTTGGGTTGACACTACAGTACTATTTTTTGTTTCATTATCTGGCCTCTGCTTCCAAGCTGGAACAATCCTTTCAGTGAAGGAAACCAAATGTCATCCATGTTTAATTCTGTAATACTGATGACCAACCCCTGAGAAGTCAAGGATGAGGCTTCTCCTTGCCGAAAGAAAAGGAAACTAGGTCTTGCGGTTCCAAAATGTTTGATTACATCACACCAGTTCTGTTCAAATAAAAGATCAGTGGTATGCCAAAGAAAATAAGATATATCAAGAAAAAAATGTGATATCCTCTTCTTTTAATTCTATTTATTTTTAATTTTTTATTTATTTATTTAGTATTTTTGTTGTACTTCCTGAAGAAGGTGCTCCTTGTGTAGAGATTTAGAGTACATTGGGTGCAGAGTGGTGGTTGGAGGTTAGGGTCAACTTTGCTGTCCGCTCCGTGGATTTTACAGGCGATTTGCTCTTTGCTTTAAGAAGAGAAAGTGATATTGGAAAAAGTCAGCACTTTTAGATTAAAGCAAAGCACCCTTCACAAAGCCACAAACAAGAAGCAGGACAGAAAGTCCATGGCTTGTAGCTATCCTCGCACCTGCGGAAGAAGTTATAAGATATTCGCTCATCTTGCAGATTTCCAATGCTCCTTATAAGGCTGTTTTAAACACATACATTTATATATTTAATTAGCTCGCCAGGTTGGCTCTGGTGCCCATGAATGTCTTGGCATGCACTGCAAATAACAACACATACAAAGTATTTCAGTCCCAGGGAGGTTTTGCTTTGTTTCATTTTGTTTTGCTTTTGTTTCTTGTCTGTCTTTTTAAACAACGTTATCCAGTGACACCGTATACCAAAAAGAACAAACCCAAACACCTTCCACCCCAGAGTGTTCTTCACAAAATCATTTCCAGAATCACATCATTGACTGCTAATAACAAAGTTACGTAGTGGCTAAAGAGTGTTTTCCTGTAAAAAAGAGGATATAGAGGCAAAAGGCTGTGCTATTTACAAGGGGGAAACAATGCTAAAAGATTTGGAGTGGGGTTTTTTTTAGAAATTATATTTTCCCTTTTTTTTTTTTTTTTTTTTTGAAAAAAGCTATTAAAACAATTGTACATATCATTGTTCTTAAAAACATGAATTTATATTTTAAGTATGTTATCAGAATAAAAAAAATATTCAGAACTAGACTAAACTGAAGTGCTTGCACACCAAGAACATGAGTATTTACATGTCTTATGTAGCAAGTTTCAGGACTTGATAACTCACTATATCATAAATAATTACACTCAGAATTTGAAACTTATTATTTGAGGTGAAAACCATAAATTTAATTCAGTGACACTATAAAAAATGTTCCGATAATAACAGGCTAATGCAAGATTAATAGATTTTATGTCTGTGTTTTATATTTGAAAAGGATGAATGTTATTGATGGTTACAGGCATCAGTTCTATAACATTGTAATCATGCTATAAATAGTCCATAATACTGGACTTTTAATAACTGATTATTTTTTTAAAAATCTGTTAGTCATGTATAAGCTATTTTTTAAAAGAATTTAATATTAAAATGAATGCTGGATTCCATTTCAGCCCCAAAAGGCATATTTATCTTCTAATCAAGAATATAAACAACAAAACCAAAAAGAACTCAAGGCAAACACTTATTTTTAAGTTTTCAGACTTTTATCAGCAAAATGTTTCTCTGCATCTGCTAACTACATTTGTATGTGTAGCAAGAAGCATTTCTGTTCCTGTATTTAGGAGATTTTTCCCTTCAAAACCAGGAATTAAACTAAATCCCCGATCTCTAAACACTACTGCCTTCTGTAAACACCTGGTGTAAGACATTGCATACACCGTAGTTGCCGTAAAAGACTTAGTCCTCTGTCACACACACAAGAGCTTCTAAGTCACAGGGATATTTCAATTACCCATGTGTGAAATTAATTTCTAAATGAATACTAACTTTTAAACAGAAACATTTCTCAAAGACTTTATTAATATTTTCAAAGAAATTCAAGAGGAACTCTGAGCATAGTTCCTATTGAACATAGACAGGAGTGGGAAGCCTATTTTTCTCTTGCCCATCTGAAAATGCCAGCCTACCTGTACTACACTGCAATAGTTTGCTGGCTTCTCAAAACACTTGTTCTGTATTAGAAACAAGCAAACACACAAGCAAATTTGTTGCAGCATCTTCTGTGGGTTATTCTCATCCAGGCAGTATTTACAAGCTTGCGCCCAAGGGTCGAGTTCAATTTCTGGCTTTTGTTTTATTGCAGTATGGCAGGGTGTAAACATTTTTCATTTGACAGATTTTTTATAAAGGCTATTCATTCCCTAACCAGATTAGTTGAACTGAGTTAGAACCTTTGCCAGTATTAGATCATTTCATGATGTACGGAATTATTTTTACTCATTTTATTCCCTTTTGTTTTATTATTTTTTTGATTCGACTACAGAAATACACTGCTCAAGACAATTCTAAGGAGGTCGTTGGAGATACATTTCCTCTGCACAAAATAAGTACAATGAAAGTGAGGATAAATATTCAGGAGAGTCTTACAGATATTTTTTAAGAGCTTTGTTAATTAATGGCATTAAAATTTGAGAATTTGAAAGCTGCAATGTGTGGAAGAAAAAGTATGACACCAAATAGATTTGACAAACTACTTAACAGTGGAAAAGGCAGCATCGTAATATTTGCAGGCAAAGCATTCCTTGATTTTTGTTTTGTTTTGATTTTTTTCCACAACAATCTAGATAACCAAGTTAGGGGTCATACACTGCATACATATAATTACATTTTTTATTTATAATGTTCAGTCTCTGTATAAACCTCATGCCAATTCCTATCACATGTTCTACCTGCATGTCCTGTAAACAGCAGGTTTGTTTTTCTTTATTTTTCAAGTGATTTAGGTTAGTGTGTATGCAGTGAGCACAAGCTAAAACAATATTAAATACATGAGAAAAAAAAAAAAATAGGGGAAATACAACTAAAACAATTTCAGCTTCTAGGTGATGAAAGAGGTTGTTTGGAATGTTAGAAATCACTGTCATAAACAGTGTCCCCTGCTTGGCTTCAGGAAATAATTAGTATATCCTAATGTCATATCAGGTTTCTTAACTGGCTTAATAGTTTCCAGAACACTGTCTAACCCAAACTGATACATTTTCAGTAACAGGTAACTCCCACTAAAATTGACTTGCAATATACCGTGACATATGTCTATTGGGTGCACTCGTACATTTTCAGTAATAACTTATGAAATACAATTGGAGTTTAAATACACTCAAGTTGGTTTTCTGGGTTTTGCTTGTTTGTTTTGTTTGGTGTTTTTTGTTTGTTTGTTTTTTTCTTGGAGACATGTAAAAGAACTATATTTGTTCTTTCATCAACCTAAATATTTATTGAGATTTTGGAAGAGTGAAAGCTGCAAATGTAGAATAACTTGCAAAACTGAAAGCAGTCTTTTAAATTATTTTTTTTCTTTCTCTGTTCTGTCATATTTGCATATATTTTGACTATGAATCTAAAAGTTATAGGATGTTTAAATTGGAGGTTTATTTTCCCTACTTTTAGATTATGTCAGAGGTGAAGTTCAGGTTAGAATCCAAATGTCTGGAAAATACAGAGTATCCAAATCAAAGTTTCCATGCAGATGTGTTTTGGGTGTACATTTCTGTCCTGGACTTAAATAGTATAGCTGGAAATGTAAGTGCAATAATATAAGTAAAACCTGTTGATGTAGATTTGCTAAATTGCTTACTCATTTTCATGCCCTTTTTATCATTATTTTCTAATTAACTTAATGAAAGTTAAAAGAAATTTTATTGCAGGTCAAGAATGTTGGGCGAAGTTGGGCTACATGTGTGTTACCCTCAAAGACAGTAAACTTGAAGAAGAATGGTAGTATGTACACATATATTATTTCTGCCTTATTAGTTAGATTCTACTTGATCTGAGTGAGGGATTCTCATGTTTTGAGTTATCAGCCACTGGGATCCAGTTAAATTCTTCCTGTGAGATATAAATATCTGTGTTATCTTTTTTTTCCTCCCACTGACATACATCCAGAAGAGCCGATTTCCATTAAATATTTAGTATTCTGTAAACAAATGTTGTATTACCAAAGGCATGTTACCATGATTTAAGTTTCTGTGCAACAGCATGAAAGAGTAGTTCATGCCATTAAAGCCTTGTCTACTCTGAACTCTATACCCATCAGAGCTTCTGAAATATAAATTCTTACAGTTATGCGTACAATGAGTCGTATATCTTCATATAAATAACAGAATGAACCTGTGACTTCATCAGCACTGCTTTAATATTTTACTAAACATATATGTTTAGTGAGGTTCTCCTTGAGTTTTCTTTAGTTAGTAAGCCATTGATCACCAGGGAGGACTAATACCTCAGTAGAGTCCTAGTTTTGTGCTGACCACTACAGGAGAAGTACATTCAGACACAAAACATGTCCATCCTGTGTTCTCTGTATGCATTACATGATGACAAAATATCTCTGCATATATAGGAGGGATTTCTGTTAATATTGTGCTGAACAGGAGTTAAGTTTGTTGTACTACTGGCTTCTGAAATCAAAGAGGTGTTGAAACCTTGACAGTTTCATTTTTTCAGCCATTTGAACTTATATTTTCCATCTTTAATTGTCTGGTTTGCCGTTTTGCAATACTTGGCTTTGTCGTACTAGTGCTAGATTTGAAATAGCCTTCTTGTCAAATCTGGTTGAACCACATGAAATCATAATTTTGCATTATTTCTGTTTAAGTAAGTAAAAGTTCATGAAATACCTGCCTTTGTTTTACTGCGGGTATTAATGAACCATAAGATTTGCTGGCAGACATTTTCAGTTTTACACCCATAATGATAGATGAAATCAAGTATGTTTGATTTTATTTGAAATTTTATTAGAATATGTCTCACACAGGTTTTAAATAAATATATTCTTCCTCTCTGGCCTATCAATTGCTATTGTTTCTATTCCTCTGAACTGCAGATATCACAGCTAAATATAGCTCTCCTATACTGCTGGAATATATATCCACACTTAGGAAGAAAATTTCCCTTTCACAAGCATAAGATGTCCCTTCCTCATTTGAACCTTAGGGTTCTATAATCTGTAGTTGATTTTGGGGAATTCATCATACATGCGAGAATAAAAGTTCTGAATTTCTGATATTATTTTATTTTTATTTTGTCTGAGTTTATTTATATTTATTTATTTATTTATTTATTAGGGGTTTGGTTTTGTTTTTGTTTTTGAAGAAAAGTACTGCTTCTAAACGGATGGAAATTTAGAATAGGCCATGTATTGAATTTCCCTGAAGTCTACTTAGAGTTTTTGTCCAGTGTGCAGCTCTGTTCATCTGTTATGTGTTTGTTTTCTGCCAGTAATGCCCAGAAGACCAGGTGAGGAAGAGGGAGGGGATCCTAGATGGAGGGTCATTCCCTAACTTTCACCAGGTAAAATGCCCAGGCAAACAAAGGTGTTCAGTTCTGCCATGGGGCAAAAGAAGTGTCAACTTTCCAACACTAAGTAGAGGAGAGAATTCCACCAGTGGT